GAGTAAAAGAAATACATCTAAAAAACGGTGAAATTAATAATATTTCATATAAAGTTTCTAACCAGCCTAATGTCTTCAGTTCCCCTGTAACAACATAATATTGACTAACATTCCTTGTGATTCCCCACTTCTTTGTTTCGAAATATGCTTTAATGATCGTAAGTCCATGAGATTCCCATCGTACAAAACTTTACGTGCTTTTTTTAGTCACTATCAAAGTAAATACGATGATTTGGATTATTGTAATAATCATGAATTCCCGAAATAGTGCGATTTACAGAAAGTAGAACTAGATGAGCACAAATCAACGTATTATATTTCAAATTCGTATTCACTGGGAAATCAACAACAAAGGAATCCTTAGTCCATGCAAATATCACATCCTCCGCAACTTGAATGAGAATCCATATTTCTGTAATCGACTAAACCTCTTCTCCTTAGGTTCATTGCATTTCTGTCTGACTGCGTAATAGATACGGACTCAGTATGGTTTAGAATCTACTCAGTAGTATTAGAATTAACAAATCGGGACGGACTCACCCGGGTCTTGGGATTGTATATGATTAACATGTCGGTTGTGTACTGAAAACACTATCTGGAATTCGAACCATAGAATTTTCAACACTACCTTCCCACCTAAGATATAATAAAGAGTCCCTATGTCGCAGTGTTATGACCGAATTGACGTTTCCAATTCGCATTATCTTCTCATATCTAACACTTCGACTTTATATGTGAGCCATTTGTGGATAGATACTGACATATAATTTGAGGCACTCCATCATGTGACTGAAGATGCCACAGGTATTTGGATTTTGAAAACAATGTAACCAGTAACATCTTCTACTATGAATCGTGCCCACCAATTGAAATCAAAAGTCAGAAGCGAGGAGGTCAGAAAATACATTTTACAGGATATCAATATATCGAGAATCGACTGATCTAAACTGGCTAGCGATTGCAGCAGAAGCTGAGCACAGTGTTTCCACTCGTGCGAATGCATGGCGGAGCGCCTCCAACTAGGTTAATCCATTGAAACCAATGTGGTCAGCATCAAATGTCGAAGACATACAGAGCTATTGATTTTGAGGATTTATTTACCACTGCGGACTACTCCCACTAGTGGGGTAGTGATGGCTCTGAGACGTGGCCAGCCAGATGTTTAATTTTTTATTTTATTTGAACACATAAATATTGGTACAAGAGGGCACCAAATATATATACGCCACACAAAACAATCAGAATTCGAAGAGAAAAAAAGAACAATAACGAACAGATTAGTGTAAGGTAGCGTAATAGTAATAAAAAAATAATAATGGGAGAAACGGAAAGGTACAACTAGAAGAATTCTTTCAGTTAAGGAAGATACAACCACTTTTTATGAAGAAAGTAAAAGAAGGTTACAGCAGGATCGCCACTGGCTTCTATTCTGAGCCATATCTGATAACGTCTCTAGCCACTGTGTAGCACCATCTCTCGGACCCCAGCCAGGGAGTCGTGAAGGACCAACACAAGCCAGCCCTTTGCAGCTTTCTTTCATACCACGACACCATGTCATACACTGACCACCTCTCCGCTTTTTCCAACCAGTCCCAGAGTCGGCAAATAATGCACGACGTGGAATTCTCTGGGACGACATTCGGAGAACATGTCCAAGCCACCGAAGTCGGTGTTTCAAGATGGTGACACCAATTGATTATCATCTCTGTGCCCGAACACACGATGCCGAACCTCTGCATTACTAACATGGTGTTGCCACTGGATGTCAGCAATCCTTCGGAGACAGCGATGATCGAACACAGAGAGTCGTCTAACGTCCTCAACTCGGAGAGGCCAGGTTTCACAAGCATAGAGCAAAACTGCTCTCACCGACGCGTTGTAGATCCGACCTTTTACAGCCAGACTAACATCACGAAGGCGCCAAAGGTGGCCCAGATTGGCATAAGCCGCTCTGGCTTTCACTATACGTGCATTGATCTCATCACTCACACCACCACCAGCACTTATGCAGCTACCCAGATACACGAACTTCTCGACTACTTCTATCTGCTCACCATCCAGGGTGAGTACAGGATTAGAATCCTGCCAGTCTTGTAGAAGTACTTTGCACTTCGAAGGTGCAAAGCACATACCATACCTACGGACACTGATTGCCAACTGATTAAGTGCGGATTGCATGCCTTGGGCATTATCGCACAGTAAGACAATATCGTCCGCATACTCAAGGTCGAGAAGTCTTTCTCCAGGCAACAGATCCACACCATTACTTACATTCATCAGAGCTGTTTCCAGAATGTCATCGATGGCAAAGTTGAAGAGGAATGGTGAGATTGGGCAACCCTGCCTAACCCCACTGCTCGAATGGAACAATGGAGAAAGGTGGTTGTATGCCCTCACTCTGCCTGAGGTGTTTGTATATAGGGCTTTTAGGATGTTAATAAACTTCTCAGGCACACCCTTCTTCAATAGACAATCCCAGAGAACAGTCCTGTCCAACGAGCAGCCCTGATGTCAAGGAACACTACGATTGTTGGCCTTTGATAAGTATGGCGGTGTTCTAACATTTGGCGGAGGGTGAAGATATGATCAATACATCCTCGACCAGAACGAAACCCAGCCTGCTCCTCGCGAGTCAATCTTTCTCGGGTTTTGAACAACCTACGAAGTATGACGGAAGCCAATAGCTTGGACGCAATCGGAAGTAGACTTATCCCCGATAGTTGTTACAGGAACGACGTGAACCCTTTTTAAAGATAGGGACAACTATCGACTCATTCCATGACGTTGGTACACTCTCTAGTTCCCAAACCTTTGTAAACAACGTCGTCAATTCCTTAGTCAAAAAGTCACCACCATCTTTAAAAAGAGCCGGAGGTAAGTCATCTGGGCCAGGTGATTTGTAACGCTTCAAGAGTTGGAGTTCCTTGCGGACTTCCTCCTTATTTGGTGGATCAGTCGTCACCGGCCATGGAGGGCAGGACAGTCTGACCGATGTTGCCGGAGCAGCAGGCCAGTTGAACTGCCCTTCGAAAAATTCTGCCCATCGTCCAAGACGTCGATGGATGTTAGTGATTGGCATCCCATCATCCTCGCAGATTGTTTCACTCACACCAGACTTCTTGCTGCCAGTGGCTCGGATGAGCTGGAAGAGCTTCCGGTAGTTACCAGATGCAGCTGCTGCTTCCAGCTCATTAGCACGCTCGACCACCAGGCTTCTCGGTCCTTACGCAAGCTTTGCCCGATTTCCTTACGTAACATCCTTCGTTTGTGGTCAAACTCACGGTCACCCGGAGTAGACCGACGGGCTTCAATGAGTTGTAAGGAACCAGAAGAAACCCAGTGCTTAAAGCGGGACGTTTCGCAAACCCACAACCGACTTTACCCGCCATTTTCATGGCGTCATGCAATTGCAACCAATGCTCATCTATACTTTTCGGTGGAGTGGTAGCTAGCCTAGAGGCTAGCTCGGTTCGATACTTACTTGCAACAGAAGTTGCAACCAGCTTGCTAACATCAATCCGTTGGTGGCGGTCACTTCGTTGTCCACTGAAAAGTAAGGTAAGATTGGCGCAGACCAAGGCATGGTCAGAGTCCAGATAGGTACTCCAAAAGGAGCGGCAGTCTTGTACACAACCACGCCAGCGGTAGCTGATCGCGATGTGATCAATCTGAGTCCAGGCTTGAGATGCAGAGGGAGGACGCCAGGTGGCACATCGGCGATGACTGTGCCGAAAGTTAGTGCTAGCCAGAAACAGGTTGTGGTCTGTGCACAGTTGCAGTAGACGGTCCCCGTTATCTGACCTGCGACCAACGGTTCCCCATCGGCCACCTAAACGACTCTCTTCTGTGCCTAGACGCCCGACCTGAGCATTCAAGTCTCCGGCTAGTACTACAATATCTGTCGAACGCACTTTCTGGAGAACAGTTAACTGGTGGTAAAACTCATCCTTGATTGCATCCGGGCTGCAATCTGTCGGGGCATAGGCGGAGATGACGAAAAGACATCGTTTCTCACGCCGATTTCTTCTCACTTTGATGGAACTTTCTAATCTAACAGCACATAACCGACTGTTAATGGGGATCCAATCGACTAGTGCTGCCTCAGCTCTAGCGCTTAGTGCGACACCAACGCCAGCAAGACCGGACGAAGATGCCACAGGGTCCCCGGATAAGCGCACGTAAAACAAGCTTTTTGAAGCGACAGATGGAGAGCGAATTTGTAGTACTTCACCCGAGTCTTGAATACGGGTCTCGGATAGACAACAAACGTCGATAATAAGACTTTCTAAAGACATAGCCAGCCCTATCTGTTGTCCGACCTGCATAAGTGTGCGAACGTTGAAGGTAGACAGTTTGAGTCGTGTATGTGGTTTCAGAAAGACTGTTTCAGTATTCGTATTCGCTGGAAGCATACAACTTTCGACCAAGCAGTGAATCGAGATCGTCCAGATAGAACCGAACTTCCACCATAGGCGAGCTGCTGGGATACTGCCCGGGTGCCCAGACCGAAGCAGGTGGTTTTCTTAGGGAGTCACACCCCGAGCCCTTGACCTAAAGGTCTGACCCACGAGGCAGCGGAGCATCACGAAAAGATGCAGTCCCATGGTAGCCGGTGACTAACAATTGGTTCATACGCTATTTGTCCCCTCAGGTTACTGGTGGCCATGTGCACCATTGGTTTGGAATCCGGTTAAAGCGCCGGACATTCGCTTTTTGTTCTCTCATCTCTGTAAACAACACCCTCGCCACGAGAAGGCAGTGAGTAGGACTTCTCTGGCAGAGGCTGTATACGCGTGGCCGTGTGAGAGCATTTCGAGAGGGAGGGAGGGTTTATCCCACTCTCGACCATACCAGGGCATTCGGGGCCTATCGAATCTTATGTGCAGATGTGAAGTGCGACAGTTTGTGATTAAAAACTCCTTTTATCAACCTGATTGATTAGAATCAAATGTTGATAACTGACAAAACACTTGCCAATTAACTTAAAAAGAAGGATTCTTGGAAAATAAATAACTAAAGACGATACAATAACTATAAATGTATGCATCACCTTGTTGGTTCACCTGCTACTTTATAGAGAAATCATATACAAACACATAGAACCAGATTAATGGCAATCACTTAGTTTACTACTCTTTTAGTAGACCCATGACTTTACTAAAATAACAATAATTGGATAAGGTGTAAAATTTCATATCTACTTGTAGATATCATTTGTAATAGAGTTACCAGATTTAAGCTCTGAATAGGGCATTATTAAGACAAAAAATGACGCTTGATATTTGAGAACTGGCTTCAACGAACTACTTAATGAGGAACAAATAAGATATTTAAGACACCTTCTCTAAAAAATTAGATATTGTATAACAGATCTGAATTTGTTTATGAAAAAAGTCTCAATAATGAGATGTTTAAGCATCGGTTTTTATCGAACTGCAATGAACAGGAGAGCTGGTATCTGGTGAGCCAATGTTCAAACATTCTTTGACAGAATTCGAGAGCGTGCCAATATCATCAGTTTTATCTTCTTTATCAGAATGAGTATCTTCAATGCTGGATCCTGCAAATAAGGAATGATAAATATTCTAAGAGGATCAGGATCCAGAAAAACTAAAACACTAAATACAACAGTAATTCTCACTTACATTGAATAAAAAGACTTCTAATTATACGAGAGCATAATCATTTCACAACACAAGATAAGAATTTATATCACAATTTACGTATGATATATAGCGCGTAGAAGGTAGTACAAATTACATTGCAGACACTTTATCAATGACTAGCATTAATAGTTTAACTGCAACGGACATAAATTACATCGAGTTCTCAAAGGTGAAGAAGACTGATACTGAACTGAACGAATTTTGAGGATCAAATAAGACAGAATTGAAGATAAAGAACATCTGTTTGTATACCATAGAATGTGACACCTCGCTTTTGAGATATCTCACGGCATATCTTCCTCAGGCGTAAAAAACTTATCAAAGACATTCGTTTGCCCAAATATAAGTAGCGACTTACAGATATGGACGAAATCATGCACGTAATGTCAGAAGTCGGAAGTCCAACAACACATAGTAGTATCGCCTATAAGAGGATTTTCTGCACCAGACTGGAGTCCGAGCATATGAATATCGATATTTTCGGACACTTACCACCCAATAATTTTATTTATATACTAAATTGTATTGGCCGATTCACCAGATGGGTAAGAGCCATCCGGTTGTAAAACATTGCTCCTGAAACGGCGGAAAAGTTTGTGAAACATAAGGTTGCTAATTTCGAAGTTCCAGAAAGCATTATTACAGACTAAGGTGCACAATCTGGAAGTCGTCTGTCTTAACAACTAACAGAGTCATTGTGTGTTCAGCGGATACGGATCACAGTTTATCAAGTAACACACTATTTTTATGTTCGTTGTTGACTCAATTTGATATTGATGAGGAACGATGAAATATAGTTCCTTAATTAACTACGTATACTTACATAAACTTCGTGTTAGTGAATCACAGAATGAAAAAATACAAGAGTGGTTTTGGATACATATGTTTCATACACCCATTGATACAGATAGACAAGAGACGAGAAGCAGGCAAGACAAACCTGATCATTTTGTTTAGTCAAACGTGACTCAACATTTATATGAATTAAAGGTACATCTAAGTATATGAACACAGATACTGACATACATGTTCAAGATCATATATATAAATGCTCTAACGACTAGAGGGACTAATATAATTCGTCTGTTCAAACGTTAGAACAAACTATGCAGGCGTGTGACAATGAAACTCACTACAAGCTGAACGACTTCATATGGTGATATTGGTGTAGAACTATTGTTTTATTAGTGACTGACTGATCTTTACATTCCCAATTAACATAGATGTACTTGAATTATAGATTTTCGGACATCCAAGTGATAATATGAATAAACCAATGATTAACATTCAGATAGATATTTTTCTTTGTACTACTGAATTAGTAACAGTTCTTACTAGAAACTGATATAAGTTGGAAGACAACTTCCTGAAATATGCTCCATATAGTTCCGGTTGTTCTCAGAGAGTAGAATCTGGATATCTTCAAACCTAGTGTCGGTTACTGTTTTCCAACTTAATACAGCTTTTGACTAAAGAACTTAATAGCAACAAATGTGGCGAGAGCAGGTAATATAACTGAAAGTAAAACAATTCTGGCTGTTGTCCAATACTTCCTTAGACTTTACTACATTTTTTAAGGTACATTTAAGTGCTTTAAGCATAATTTAATTAAGAATTTATTGAGCGTTAACGGCTGTTTTAGGTTAGCAGCTATGGTAAAAAGTGTATATGCTATTTTTGTCATATAACAAATACTACGAAATGGGGGGTTGTTTAGTGAATGATAACGAAATAACTGAGTGTGTAGTAATCCTTTTAAACTGACTTACAAAAGTGCTTGATATAACAATATTGAGGTGTTTGGGTATTTCTTGCTGAATGACATTAATAGGTATGTAGAACGTTTAAGAAGGTTAGGTTGCTGAGATTCTCCCATGGATTTAACAGATCATCGAACAAGTAGTTCCTACTAAACATGTAAATCAATATTCTAGTATGATAAGGTCACTTTTATTATAATATGCTATGTTAAGCATATTTTGAGATGATTCAAACATGTAAGTGTTTAGTTACAAACTAGGTTGATGAGTTGTATTAACTGTATTAGATAAGGACTTTGGAGTCTCAAAAGTGATCCATAAAGTAACGTAATTTGCAGTTTTGAGGTTCCTATGATAAAAAATACATACGGACACTTCTGTGGAGTCAAAATGTCAATGACTGGGTTAGTTAAATCATGTATTATTATGGGGACTGACGTGTTTAATATGATTGTCACAAAGCAAAGAATTTATCATTTTGGATATAAACTTCTCAACTGGCCTCCTAAGTCCACTGGTCCTTCTTTACCATTCTGTCTACGTTACTAACAAACATAACTTGTACCTTTGTACCGCAGTGCAGATTGTTGTAGACCGACTTTGATGAATAGCCCTTTAATGATTGCCTAAGTCCTTAACTAGTTCTTCCCTAAACATATTAACACTTTAGCCATGGACAAAAGCTTTAACAGATTTTCCAGACTCAGGCAAATATGTAATTTCAAAGGGGCGACAGCATTCCGTTGATGCTCTGCAGCTAGGACTAATATCGATAAGGTTGGTCCCACCGTAGTAGTTATATCGGGAGTCAACAAACCAAATAGTGATTTTTCAGGCTTGACGTTTAGGTTCGCTAAAAATAAATTTGTCCGCTACGATTACTACATCTCGGTTTTCGATAAAATATATTTTTGACTCCATCCAGGTTGTTGTTAATAGGAGAGTATCTAGAGACAGTGAAGAAGCAATAGCTTTCCCCAAAACTCAATGTCCCATATAGCAGACAGCTCGCAAATGATTGATATGAAATACAGAAGTGTTTGATCTGACCAGGCAAAAATAGTAGGATAAAAAACAATAACAAACGACGCTCGGTGAATAAAAAGTGGCCACAGTTATAGTGTTAAATGTCAGTTAGTAATCTCCTTATCAGGATGCATGCAAGCAACACTGAAAACTTGCAATTAAAGACCTATGTCACGAATATCTCTGCCAGCCATCAGAAAACACTAGACATAACATCAACAACAACAAAATTTGTGTGTAACTGAAATAATACACGCTTTCTTCTTGGAAACACATATTTGTAATTAAGTAAGGACTTTATGTAATGACTTACTATTCTCAGTTAGTTTATCCTCACTTGCTTGACAACCTCCCTCAAAAACTTTCCGAAAATCTTCTGCATCTTAATAAAACAAAACAAAAATTAAGATCACACCAAGCCGAATAATGACCATGTATTTAACAAACTTCGAGCGAAGCAACATCTTATAAAAGCATTTTCTTAAATCATTATTACCTACGAATAACGAGCTAAACATTTTTAGAAGATTATCCCGTCCAATTAAAAACATTCGGAAAGTAAATAGCTGAAGCTCAATAAAGTAGTCTGAATGACAAAAAAAACTACTACTTGATAAGTGATGGAACAATCCAATTACCTATAAACAAACACGATGACAGAAAACGCGAAAGCATAGCCAAAATATCAGTGAATCGTGGTGATCAAATCCGAAGTGATAAATGAAATACACACAAACACTGGACCTAGCACACCGACATTACAGAATGGATTACTTTAGTATCCTGATTGAGTTACCGTAGTGGACTTATCAGATATGAGTTGGTTGACAAAGGACTCACGGACATGAACAACTTGACCAACTATCACGTTATATCATCTGTAATGTTCAGAGATGTCCACTTCCCTAAAGAATTCCAGGTATACAGTCAAGAGTCAAATTCCTAATGTAAGCTGACCGTTCAGCCAGTCATGTGCACCGGTTTAAGCTGCCACACTACATTAACTAACGATTACTGAAGGTCGATGATACTACAATATCACAAGTTTTGGAAGATGAATCCAGCCTAGAATATATTGTTTTACCTTCATATCTATCGTTTTATCATAGGATTCAGTCATATACTTGTCTCTTTGCTTACAAGTTTTATACCAGTAGCAAATGTTTAAAAAGTGATAGCATGTGGAGAAAACAAACACTTGTGGTTTGTATGAGGTAAATTCCTTAAAGAGCATTGAAATAACGCGGCGAGTAAATCCTGGATGGCCGGTGAATGTACGATCAAACCGTGTTTAAGACCAGGTTAATAAGTGGAACGGTAGCTTTGTGGCTAGAAAGCTTGACATTTTACCAGTAGGTACCGGTTTCGAAGCCTGGAACACCTACTTTGGTTTGGGTAACCATATAGTATCAACGACCTTAAGTGTGGCCTAGCGCAGGCAACCTTAACCTATAAATGAGCTACAAAACTAAGCCAATAGAAATAATTTTACGGAATACCCTTCTACATAACCTTTCGGTGACCCTTTCGTTTACCTCCGATTTGGATGCACGTATGGGTATGCTATGAACATAAATATTCAACCTAACTCCGTATATTACTTGGGTTAACGCCGTTTGTGACGGCGGCAATAAGAGGCCAAATATGGGTTGTGTTGGATGAATTTATCTCAAGCACTCTTTTATCCAGACACATTCAGAATGAAGGCAGGAAAGCGAAGCAGAGTTGGCTCATTCGCCTTCGCCAAAATCACAGCCGTTCTGGGATCTATCGCCACTATACGAAATATTACTGATACCGTTTCCCGATAATCAAAATGAAGTTGAAGAGTTTCTTTGAATACATTTCGTTACAAGTTTTGAACGAAACCTCAACAGATAGTACGTCTTAAATGATCACATTTCTATCTATCTGAACTATCTAGTTATTTATATTACGAGTGAAGTTCCAGGGAAAGAGGGAACGTCAGTTGACAATATTACAAGACCAGTAGCCAGATTGGATGACCCGGACATTTTGTATCAAGTGAGTGGAGTATGTGGGGGGAAATCTATCATAAGGCTATGACACAACACAAGTGCGTAATCACTGACCTGGTCTAGACGAAGAAAGCTCTTTGCCTAGGACTCTATATGGCAGACAGGGATCGGAAAGAATCAGAACCGATTGTGGTGGGGGGTATGTACTAATTGCTCATTACTCCGAATCTACCTCATACAGACAGGTAATGTTTTGTTTATTGGTACTTTTTTCGTACGTTGTTGAGTAATACAGTAAGAATATACGGGTCTCACTTCGTTTATGTTACATATTGAAGGGTTATTTCCTTCGGAACCTGCAGACCGAATTAAAATAGGAGTGTGATACTTCCATTTGTCGACTACTCTTATCTAGACGGTCAGACAGCTATTCCATAAGTTTCTTATTTCTATGATTCTCATTTGTGTCAGTGGTTTTAAAAAATGGGATCATAAATTGTACCATGATGGTATTTCTCTGGTGTCTTGAAAGGCTAAAATTTCGAGGTTTTACAGTCAGGGTAATCTAAATTTACTGCCATGGATAAAAAAGATAATGACCTACATAGATCAATCTGTCGTTTAAATTAAAGGACTAAGGTTTGAATGAACGCTTTGCTTGGTATGCATCAAAGCAACATGACCTAAAGACTCGGAAAGTCTGACATCTTGGTGGTTTGAGCTTAAGATACTAGACATAAACTCTCACGAGTGCAAGGAATCACACATCCAGATATTTAATGGCATTTAAGTGCCAATGAACTGCAGTAGTGAACGTAATTAAATATTTCGAAAAACGTTAGAAAGTCTCTGAAGTAATATTGAATACGTACATGTAGAGTTAGCAAATCTAACACCCAATAACTCTGGTTTTACCACCTCGTCTGCGAAATCAGCTGTCGTACTCCAGACAAAAGCTCTACTGCTGCTGCAGTTCGGACGTAAGTACATATTTTTGAGGAGATAATGGTTGGCACAAACCTAAATTGCTGTAAAGTAACGTGTATAAGAACCTTGTACGTGCGATCCCGACGCATCAATAAGCGGTAGCATCCACTGGTCCTGTTACGTAGAATTTTCAGCACTCCAACCCCACGCTCCTTCCATTCTGGGGGATCGTCAATAGTGTCGAAACGAAATAGCTGCGCTCTCCTGAAAGATCAAGTGACCTGATTTAAATAAAAAGGTACTGTTTGAATAGGCACTCTTCATTCTCCTCGGAACTACAGACTGTTAAAGGGGGAAGAGTAATAACAGGCTCAAAATATAGGTCAGGGTCTTCGTGCTAAGCAATTTAACGAGAGGAATTGTTCGTACTTCCGAAACGCTATGCATTATCGCCACTATTAATTGAAAAGGCCAGCTAGTAGTTTGTTTGCGTCTATGTAATTTACGTTTGCGCAGACGAGGTACAGTGACAGCGGACCAGACACCACGAGGTTCTAAAAGGAGAAATATGTCGTGTTAAGTCAAAAGCCAAACACTGTCATCACATTTACTGACGACAACAACCAACAGGAATTACTGATGAGTGTGTAAACTAAAAATCAACTTGTAATGTGTAAAGATATCAAAGCAACACAACGGCTAACCAATGACCACTCAAGGTTGTTGTGCATTCAACATCCAATAAGCTAACGGAACAATAATAATTATAATGAGCGCGGGTGGTCGTGATGAGTAACATTCACGGTTAGACATGTCAGTTGTGAACCTGTATAGTACAGTTCAAGATACTTCATGAGTATCGGTTAAGAGCACAGATCAATCATATATTTAGCTGTGATTGAGCATAATCTACAATCAGAAAACGAAACATCGCAGATGGGTGGTTCAGCACATCCATCTACCAACCCCGATTCGCTTATACCGACGACTAGGTTGTGGTGTCGTAGCTGATCCATGTCAATGATTGATATAGAAACGTCTGAAACAACAGAAATCCGATGAATGGGTTTATTTGAACCCACGTCGAATTAAATGTACATTTCCTCGTGGATGGGGATCGACTTTCCGTCCGCCACCGCAGACCAAAGATCGGACTTTGTGGACGATTGTTAGTATTGGCGAGGAGAACGGAAAACGTGGTCTCAGCCTCGGTTCGTGCAACCGTTTTACTTGAACATATTTATAATGGTTATAGAGATGAATATGAATGAGGCAGCTCCCAACGAAACTGTCGAGGAAATCTCTTCTATCGAATTGTTGTCTGAACAGAAAGAGAAGGACGGGCGATGACTGGGTAGAAATATATATTTCAGTTGTAGGCAGTAGTATCAGAAACACGTAACTGCTTATCTACCTGTTTAATATAGTGGATACCTTCGGGAGAACATTGAAATCTGGACTGGTGTGCATCCTGCACCAACCGCCTTCAGTTAGTGATCTTTTTGGCCCTACGTTGGGTTCGTGGTAGAGCTCATCATTTTTAATGACCCGTGATCTGACCTCAGGTAGATCGTATCTTGAGTGCTATCGAAATAGACATGTCGTCAACCCTCATATGTAATTATCGACTAAACTCGCTTTAGCGAATAACTGAATTAAAGCAAGTTAAATATGAGAATAGATTTTGAAAACGTATATTTTGTACGATCGTTGATCAGATTAGACAATCAGAGAGACGGAGTGAAGAAAGCGAAGAGAGCGAAGCGAGACGAAATGATGCGCAGTGGAGAAGGTTAGTCAGTCAAATCCATATAATCAAGCGTGAATTGTTAGTTGTGATCAGACAAAAGTAAATTACGGACATATGATGAATAGGGTAGGCAATACAAAACACATGGTCATAGAAAAACAGCCAGGATTAATAAGTGAATAAAAGACAACGTCAAAATGTAGCTTCAGGCGAATGAACAGACTGGTTTGTCCAGAAGCTAGAATAAACTGTGTGGGCTTGTTATGATGCCGAACACTAAAGGGCTGTCCAGTTAGACTAACATGATAAATACCTATGTCTAATGCTTGTAATTCAATTTGATACAGTGGACTATTTACCTTACAGGAGGCGGAAAGGCAGAATATATGTATTCTTTTCACTTTTAGTATTGGAATTATTCCAGGATGCACACCAGTCCAGATTTCAATGTTCTCCCGAAGGTATCCACTATATTAAACAGGTAGATAAGCAGTTACGTGTTCTGATACTACTGCCTACAACTGAAATATATATTTCTACCCAGTCATCGCCCGTCCTTCTCTTTCTGTTCAGACAACAATTCGATAGAAGAGATTTCCTCGACAGTTTCGTTGGGAGCTGCCTCATTCATATTCATCTCTATAACCATTATAAATATGTTCAAGTAAAACGGTTGCACGAACCGAGGCTGAGACCACGTTTTCCGTTCTCCTCGCCAATACTAACAATCGTCCACAAAGTCCGATCTTTGGTCTGCGGTGGCGGACGGAAAGTCGATCCCCATCCACGAGGAAATGTACATTTAATTCGACGTGGGTTCAAATAAACCCATTCATCGGATTTCTGTTGTTTCAGACGTTTCTATATCAATCATTGACATGGATCAGCTACGACACCACAACCTAGTCGTCGGTATAAGCGAATCGGGGTTGGTAGATGGATGTGCTGAACCACCCATCTGCGATGTTTCGTTTTCTGATTGTAGATTATGCTCAATCACAGCTAAATATATGATTGATCTGTGCTCTTAACCGATACTCATGAAGTATCTTGAACTGTACTATACAGGTTCACAACTGACATGTCTAACCGTGAATGTTACTCATCACGACCACCCGCGCTCATTATAATTATTATTGTTCCGTTAGCTTATTGGATGTTGAATGCACAACAACCTTGAGTGGTCATTGGTTAGCCGTTGTGTTGCTTTGATATCTTTACACATTACAAGTTGATTTTTAGTTTACACACTCATCAGTAATTCCTGTTGGTTGTTGTCGTCAGTAAATGTGATGACAGTGTTTGGCTTTTGACTTAACACGACATATTTCTCCTTTTAGAACCTCGTGGTGTCTGGTCCGCTGTCACTGTACCTCGTCTGCGCAAACGTAAATTACATAGACGCAAACAAACTACTAGCTGGCCTTTTCAATTAATAGTGGCGATAATGCATAGCGTTTCGGAAGTACGAACAATTCCTCTCGTTAAATTGCTTAGCACGAAGACCCTGACCTATATTTTGAGCCTGTTATTACTCTTCCCCCTTTAACAGTCTGTAGTTCCGAGGAGAATGAAGAGTGCCTATTCAAACAGTACCTTTTTATTTAAATCAGGTCACTTGATCTTTCAGGAGAGCGCAGCTATTTCGTTTCGACACTATTGACGATCCCCCAGAATGGAAGGAGCGTGGGGTTGGAGTGCTGAAAATTCTACGTAACAGGACCAGTGGATGCTACCGCTTATTGATGCGTCGGGATCGCACGTACAAGGTTCTTATACACGTTACTTTACAGCAATTTAGGTTTGTGCCAACCATTATCTCCTCAAAAATATGTACTTACGTCCGAACTGCAGCAGCAGTAGAGCTTTTGTCTGGAGTACGACAGCTGATTTCGCAGACGAGGTGGTAAAACCAGAGTTATTGGGTGTTAGATTTGCTAACTCTACATGTACGTATTCAATATTACTTCAGAGACTTTCTAACGTTTTTCGAAATATTTAATTACGTTCACTACTGCAGTTCATTGGCACTTAAATGCCATTAAATATCTGGATGTGTGATTCCTTGCACTCGTGAGAGTTTATGTCTAGTATCTTAAGCTCAAACCACCAAGATGTCAGACTTTCCGAGTCTTTAGGTCATGTTGCTTTGATGCATACCAAGCAAAGCGTTCATTCAAACCTTAGTCCTTTAATTTAAACGACAGATTGATCTATGTAGGTCATTATCTTTTTTATCCATGGCAGTAAATTTAGATTACCCTGACTGTAAAACCTCGAAATTTTAGCCTTTCAAGACACCAGAGAAATACCATCATGGTACAATTTATGATCCCATTTTTTAAAACCACTGACACAAATGAGAATCATAGAAATAAGAAACTTATGGAATAGCTGTCTGACCGTCTAGATAAGAGTAGTCGACAAATGGAAGTATCACACTCCTATTTTAATTCGGTCTGCAGGTTCCGAAGGAAATAACCCTTCAATATGTAACATAAACGAAGTGAGACCCGTATATTCTTACTGTATTACTCAACAACGTACGAAAAAAGTACCAATAAACAAAAACATTACCTGTCTGTATGAGGTAGATTCGGAGTAATGAGCAATTAGTACATACCCCCCACCACAATCGGTTCTGATTCTTTCCGATCCCTGTCTGCCATATAGAGTCCTAGGCAAAGAGCTTTCTTCGTCTAGACCAGGTCAGTGATTACGCACTTGTGTTGTGTCATAGCCTTATGATAGATTTCCCCCCACATACTCCACTCACTTGATACAAAATGTCCGGGTCATCCAATCTGGCTACTGGTCTTGTAATATTGTCAACTGACGTTCCCTCTTTCCCTGGAACTTCACTCGTAATATAAATAACTAGATAGTTCAGATAGATAGAAATGTGATCATTTAAGACGTACTATCTGTTGAGGTTTCGTTCAAAACTTGTAACGAAATGTATTCAAAGAAACTCTTCAACTTCATTTTGATTATCGGGAAACGGTATCAGTAATATTTCGTATAGTGGCGATAGATCCCAGAACGGCTGTGATTTTGGCGAAGGCGAATGAGCCAACTCTGCTTCGCTTTCCTGCCTTCATTCTGAATGTGTCTGGATAAAAGAGTGCTTGAGATAAATTCATCCAACACAACCCATATTTGGCCTCTTATTGCCGCCGTCACAAACGGCGTTAACCCAAGTAATATACGGAGTTAGGTTGAATATTTATGTTCATAGCATACCCATACGTGCATCCAAATCGGAGGTAAACGAAAGGGTCACCGAAAGGTTATGTAGAAGGGTATTCCGTAAAATTATTTCTATTGGCTTAGTTTTGTAGCTCATTTATAGGTTAAGGTTGCCTGCGCTAGGCCACACTTAAGGTCGTTGATACTATATGGTTACCCAAACCAAAGTAGGTGTTCCAGGCTTCGAAACCGGTACCTACTGGTAAAATGTCAAGCTTTCTAGCCACAAAGCTACCGTTCCACTTATTAACCTGGTCTTAAACACGGTTTGATCGTACATTCACCGGCCATCCAGGATTTACTCGCCGCGTTATTTCAATGCTCTTTAAGGAAATTTACCTCATACAAACCACAAGTGTTTGTTTTCTCCACATGCTATCACTTTTTAAACATTTGCTACTGGTATAAAACTTGTAAGCAAAGAGACAAGTATATGACTGAATCCTATGATAAAACGATAGATATGAAGGTAAAACAATATATTCTAGGCTGGATTCATCTTCCAAAACTTGTGATATTGTAGTATCATCGACCTTCAGTAATCGTTAGTTAATGTAGTGTGGCAGCTTAAACCGGTGCACATGACTGGCCGAACGGTCAGCTTACATTAGGAATTTGACTCTTGACTGTATACCTGGAATTCTTTAGGGAAGTGGACATCTCTGAACATTACAGATGATATAACGTGATAGTTGGTCAAGTTGTTCATGTCCGTGAGTCCTTTGTCAACCAACTCATATCTGATAAGTCCACTACGGTAACTCAATCAGGATACTAAAGTAATCCATTCTGTAATGTCGGTGTGCTAGGTCCAGTGTTTGTGTGTATTTCATTTATCACTTCCTAGTTAATCACTGCTTATCACTGATATAATAATTGTGCTTTTCTCTTATCGAAGAATGGCACACGTAATTTTGTTACACTGTGTTTGTGAAAGTTAGCTTATGTTTATCAAAAATGTGTTCTGATATAATCAGGCTAGAGTGCATTAGTTGGGGATTTAAGGTGTAGGTGTCTCAATGTTTCACAACCTTTGCTTCTTTTTCGTGATTATGAGTACAAAATATGTAAATTGGCGTAAGAATTCCGAGAATGAAGAAAAAGTACCACAACATATACAAAGAAATTTTTAAATGTGATGTTATAAGAAGGAATTTACTTACAGTTTGTCGTTCGGTGTACCAGACACGTCAAACTAACCCTTAGAATTACCATAGGCATTCAGGGTTTTTCAATCCATTTGTCCGTTTATGATCGAAGTATACCGAACCCGGTCAAACTAGAAGTGAAGAATGAAGCAATCCAAAAACTTATTTGGAAGATTTTCGATGCACTGAGAATTATGTGATGTTGGCTACGAGAGATGAGTAGTACGGTGTACACAATGATGACCTGGTGTAGATCATTAACCAAGTGGCTTCAGTTAGGTTGTGTTAAGTAGATAAAATGAAGTCAGCACCCATGTTGAAGACCTACATAATTACTTGTTTCGGGGATTTGTTTACCGCTCAAATATATAAAATATATAAACTAAAAATAAGCCTTCGAATTCGTCGAGTTCCCAGAAGGAATGTATGTAGTTTAACAATCATGTCTTATGTACTGGGTGACACTTTTTACCGTAACGGATTATTAATATTTTCTAAAGTTACAGGTAAGAGATGTATATCTAAGGACGGAGTAACAAAAGACCAACATCAATATAGGTGCAAACGTTCAGAATTTAAAGCATGGAAACTGATAAGTCCTGACATCTAAACAAATGAACCTAAAGCCACTATGTTCATTCACTCAAATAATTATTGATCAGAAAACGGATATTCAGATGGGATCCACTGTTCTGTCATTACAAACCTGGGCAACGTAGAATGTATTCCGAATTGAAGTGACAACAGTTTTCTTCGGATGTTGCACAGCTATCTCCTTTATTTTCGGCAGTGTTTATAATTATTATTTCCTTCTAATTACTTATATTTTCACCACATATCTCTTTTACACGCCTTTGGTTTTCTTATTCCAATATCAAAAGTCCAATGTGGTCTAAAATCGGCTGCCTGCTGCCGTAAGGACATCTAGTTTCAGCTAAGCCATTAACACTGGAGAACGGGCCTATTTACCTCCATAATACTTGACGGATTCACAACGACTACTGAGTGTAAATAGCACAATCCCGATTAATTCCCTCCAAAAATCCGAAATATTTTCATTAATATCATGACGCTAATACAAAGAAACCAATTTCTTAATATTGGCTTGCGCAGATGTAGGGTATTGGAATCAAGGACGATCGTTGCTCAGTAGCAGAAATAAGCGGGATTTTGTAGGTCTAAGGATATGGAACCTGTATCACAACAGCGACTTGACGAATTGAAGGCAAAAATAGCATTGCTTGGTAAACCGACTCAGTTTTTATTATTTCAGAGGGTGATCGCAAAGCATATTATGAAAATTCCGTACAAGCTGTTTCAGAGAATAAGAAACGAGTGTCAGATCTTCGTCTTGAAAATAATAAACTAAGAAATATCCTTCGAGAAAGGCTCTCGGTAGCATGAATTTCGAATTATTCCCTTACGAAAGGCTGATCAACATATCATCAATCATGTCCTGCACAACCGACAGGCTGATAGGGTTTGCATGTCTAATAAAACTGGGGCAGTGAGTGACTGTCATAAGAAAATAAAAGCTATTTTCTAGATGGTAATCGAACTTTTGGACAATCGCACGTGTGATGCAATGAAAAAGCTTAATTCTTTGAAGCATATGACTGTTCAAAAGGAGAAGAAAATAGAAGAGATGAAATCTCAGTATAGAGAGATTACGGAACTTATTGAGTACGGAAACGCAACCTATTCAGGAACTAATAAAGAGGGTAAAATGTTAAGAAACTTAGAAAACCGACTTGATAAAGCTCTGCTTAAATACCACGAAGCAGAACACATCAGAAAAACCTATGAACAAATAAAAGAAAAGCTTCAAGATGTTAGCTGAATATACATTTACAACTAATTTTTTTTTAGGAACATCTAACATATGAACACAGTTTGGACTCTCTTGAAAAGCAAATAAAAGCCACTCAAGTTGAAGTTTCAGAGCTACAACGAATGTATAATGATGCCATTGTGGCCAGGGATACCGCACAACAGGAGTTGAAGTTTCAAGAAGAACATACCACAAACGAACGTCGACGTCGAGAAATAGAACTCGCAAATATGAAAAGAATTGCTGAGGGCAAGAAGCTCGCTGTTGATAGGAGTGACTACCAAGTAAGATATTTTTAAGCTGAATCTATTTTAGAATTGCTTATTCTGTAATAAGGATAGGAGGTCTATCGACCTATATTAATCCTTGCAATCTGTAATACTGCGGATGTTTAATCTCGTTTTGAATGTGACAACAGAAGGTTTTGGTAGAGAATCCCAGTAGTTTACTATTTGGTACGAGGAACTAAACTCCAGACGTAAACGACTTGATCTCAACTTTCGAATGTTTTAAAAATGTTACCTCAAATTGTCAGTCCTAGACAGAAGGAAAAGATAAGACATATTTGTACCGAAGTCAGTGTTCATTATACGATAAGCTAATATTAGATCACCATGTAATCTGTTTTCATAGGATAGACCAGGGAAACCTTTTACAATTTAGATCCTTCGTCGTTGGGTTCGTTCTAACATATTCGCGTCGTACTTGAAACAAGGACTCTGCTTGAGTTTCACATTCCGAATGCGGCCTCACGAAATTTGGGTATAATACCCCAGAAATTTGTTTGTTCAAGTACTGAAAAGACTAACAAATAGCCTACAAGACTCTAAGGCCTTCAACAGCAGCAGCCTTGCAGATACTCGTAGTTTTGAGGTCGCTGCTTATTATGACTTCTAGATCTTTATAGTCTATTGCTTTAGATTATGCAACTCCGAATATTGTGTAGTAAGATGAATCATGATAGTTATTTAATTGCATCACCACACTTGTTAGAATTTACTTATAATGACGACCTGCCAATCTATGAAACCAGTGCATTTATTTCATCTGATATTCTATCTGACATACTATATATGAGTCTCCAAATGTTTATGTCATCGTCGAATAGTAGAAAAGATGACTTTGCTACACTTGAGAGTTCATTTACATAAATTAAAAAAAGAAGAGGACCGAGGATTGTTCCCTGGGGAGCCTCACTTCTTACGTATTTTCACGCTAAGAGAGCTTCATTTACCCTTACCCTCTGTCTCCTGTCACAAAGAAAGTCATTTATCCAGTTTATGATTTCATAATGGATTCCAAAACTTTCCAGTTTTAATTTAAGACGCAGATGAGAGATCTTGTCAAAAGCTTTATTTGAGTTTATGAAAATTACATCCACAGGGATATTTCTGTCTTTTGCTGCAGCCCAATATCTTGTCATGATAGGCCTTTTATACGACTGTGACGTTCTCTGAACTAGAAATTATGCCCTCCACATAGTTTATAACAGTTATCCGAATAATCTTTGCTATTGGTTTGACAACTACACTTGTTGGACTAATAGGTCGATAGTTACTAACTAAGTTTGTGCCCCCCATCTTATACACTGGACTAATTACTGTGCTTTTCTAGTCTCTTGACGGGCTGAACTGCACCAAAGACACATCAACCAGTATAACCATAGGTTCGGCAGTTATATCCGAACATCGTCAAGACCAATGAACCTATTTGGTTTGAGATGTTGAAGTAATCTTAAGACAGTTTCTTTCTCAATAACTACAGGATTCATCGACAAGGCGCCTTAATAACGATTAGTTGTCGCTTGTTTCTTTATTACCTGTAGAAAACTTTGCTTAAATATATCGATAAAGCCTTGGCTTTTTCGGCATTACCTCTTTTCAATATCAACGAGTTTTCTCGTTCAGGTAATTATATGACGCCCGCCTTCAATACGATATATACTTTTGTATGTACACTATATGCTAGTCATGTACCGTTCTGATACATGAGACTATGCATAAATTTTGTGTTAAATTATCTTGACAAACAAATTGTCACGCTGAGTTCAGCTTAACGAAAGAAGTCACTGAGTATTCTGGTTTGATCATGTTCTTCAACAAAGTTCAGTACTAACCCTGACATTTTATACTAATGTTCCATTGAATAATAGCTAGCTGGTTTATTTTATCAAGTTTAAAGTTTGAAAAACTAAATTTTCCCTATCGTAATACCAAATTTACAGAACTTTTAATAGTGTTGTGCTTCACTAAATCCATAGCTAAATATAATGATTAGTTTATTATATTGGTTGTACTAAGAAATTTTTTCATTTCAACCCTATGTGTCAATAACTGTGATCAAAGTTTTCGAAATATTGGTAGTAAGTGTTCTCATTAAATGTTTTCTATGTAGTGCATTTAATGCAAAATACAAAAAAATATAAATGGATATGAATGATACATCCTTAAAACTCACAAGATATATGTCTGCCAGCACCTCACACTAACTAGAGTCAAGGTGGTTCACTAACATCTTCACAAAGCAGAAGAACTTGAACTCACGAAAAAAATAATAAAGGCTTATGAATAATATACTGGGCGACAACCGTTCATCATCAACAAAGAGCCTAGAGCAGGTGCGTAATAACCAATTCTACATACCATGCTACATTGGTTAGGTCAAACGGACAGAAGAGAATAGAATAATGTGATGGTAATGATAATGTAAAAGAAAGACAACCGAGAAAATGATTGTAAAATACAGATGTAAAGGTATATATGAGCAAATGCTGTGATTCAAGATTGAGCGGAAGATAAAAAGTGGATGTATCTGCACCATTGTGGACGATTTTTGCCATATAAGTCGAAATCTCGAATGATTTGTCGCACTTACCACGCGGACTCCAAACAGGTAGTCTGGATCTACTAAAATTGCTCAGAACAATATTTGATAAATTCACGGTGTGTTTGATCACGAACGTGAGTTAATTAACCATCTTCAATATTCAAGAGGCATGCGGTCTTGACTTGTGGTTTATTACAAATTTAAAAATTGCCAATGATGTCTTAATGTAACTAGAAACCCGAAAATACACCGTTAGTTTCGTTATCGATCACCAGATAAGTTCTGATCAGAATTATTGGAATTTGGTTTCAGTAAAAATAAACGCACCGACATTTTATTTTAGCTTACTACACTAAATTCATTTGCAGACATCTTAACTGCAATTTTACAGTTGAAACTTGTAGGATGTTATTCTGACTAACTAAGTACACCCATTTTCATCATAGTAAATGGAAACATTTTTTCTGTAATCAATCAGAAGCAACAGTAAGATGCTTAAACTTCATGTCTGTCTAAAATCACTAGGAATCATTGTTCACAGTCTCGATAAAAACCAATGTTCTGATAAAAATTTAATTGCAAATACCAAGTCATTGTATGCAAACAGCATGAAAGTTTACTCTACTACAGCATCTAAAATATCTGCGAATATAACTTTCTTAGATTCGGATTCAACCATCTTGTAGCATGTGCTTTAGTGAATGTTTGCATGTTTCTTTGTGATCCGGACTTAAAGTTGTGTAGGGTTTGCTGCCAGTTACCTTCTAAGTTTTGACATCAAATACGAGGTACTTCAGTCTTTAACCACATGAAAATATCTGGTCAACAAATAATAGTTATTTCTAATACTGGGGATTATATCACTCGTGAGTATCCACATAATATGAAGTCAACTCTTATTGTTATAAAAGACAGTCAACAGAACAATGCTAAGCAAAAATGAAATCATTACGAGATAAAGCGCTGAACATTGGTCCGCTTCTGTAACTAACAAAGAATAACAATTATTTTAATGAGTTTGAAGTACTAGCAAGAGAAGAAACATCACAAAAGGTTTATTACGACAAAAAACTATTGAGAACTTCACAAAAAAGTTTCGTATTTTCAGACCACAGTTATATAGACATTTCAAACAATAGCGGAAAAAAACAGAGGAAATAATTGTCGTGCATCTATTTCTACATTCATTTGTATAAAGTCATAAGAGTAATTGATGACACAATCATGTAATATTCCATTATATGACTCTTAAAGTTATGCTTACAAACAAGTGTTTTAAAGTAAGTTTAGCATAATGTATACTTCAGGAAAACCTTCCACTGAAACTTTGAAGATGAACGTAAAGTGTTCACGTTGAAGCTCATGATCACAGAAGTAAACTTGATTCCCTATCTACTATAAGTAATTTTGAATCAGCTTAAATGTTTATTTTCTATTTCTCTAATAATAATTTATCTGTCACTCAATTGTTTGCAATGTATTTATTATTTTTGTATTTCAATAAACAGTGGTTATCCAGATTAATTTATTGAAATAACAATCCGAGAAAAATATTATTTGTACTCTTTTATACGACATTTAGCAAGGTAGAGAGTCACTTTCTTCTGCTAACGTACCAAGTGGAAGTGTTCAAGGAGACAGCATTGGTACTGGAGAACGAATTTCGGGAACAGGTGGGATAAGTATAACTGAAGAACAACAAATGAAAATATCTAAATATGAGGAGTCATTTAAAACTATTAAAGAAGTCACTGGACTGTCTGATCTTGATCAAATTGTTAAGAGGTTTGAAAGTCAAGGGGAAACTTTACGAAATCTAAATGAATTGAAAGACAAAGCTGAAGAACAATGTCAAAAACTTCGTAAACAAAGGGATCAACTACAGCAAGAGTTTGAAGAACTTAAGTATTCCGGAGAAACGGAAATAGAAAGGTACTTTAAAAATATTTTAAGTTGTTCTGTGCAGTATAGTTTTAAATATTTCTTAAATTAAGGATTCATCGTAACATTATTACATCTCGAAATTCGGAAGTATTATGGAAGCTGAAATTCAATTTGTTGTAGTTTAAACTGTAGGAAGTTATTGATTTTGAGTTGAACGTCAAAATAGTTAAATAGTATGATTTTTCAAAACATACGCACGTTTTTAACATACACTGATATTAGCCAAGTCACAGCTATCAACAATTACATAACTCATTCAAATTCTATTACAATTTTAAAATTTAGGCGAAACTGATAAACATTCAATTTAAACAGTATTTTTGGATGCAACGATATAAAGTTTATACTTTAGATAATGGAGAAGATTTGTAGCTCAGGTGGATGATTTTGATGGAGTTTTGTTCTCTGAGCTGGATGGTTTGGTCGTGGAGCTCAGAGAACAAAACTCCATCAAAAAGTTTATACTTTCACACATAATTATGAAGTTAATTTTTCTAAACTATTTTCTTACAGCACTAATCAAGTAATAAAACAACATCAGAATGAAGCACAAATAGAAAGTGAACGTCGTATAAAATGTTATCAAAATCTAGAAAATGCTAATCATCTTTTAATTCAATGTAAAACTGGAGTTGATCATATTTATGATAAATTATCTTTTTTAAATATGCACATAACAAAAGGTATTGAACATTTTCATAAAGATGGTGAAGAAAAAGACGAAGAATTAGTTGTAGATGAACAAAATATTATCGATAATAGTGATATACCAGAAATTTTAAAAATATGTAATAATAAATTAGATGAACTTATGAGTAGTTTAAATGATGTTAATATTGAAGAGCAACTTAATTTAATAGAACAAGAAGAAGTAAGTGTATTTTTAAAGGTATCTATTTTCAATTACTTTTATTTAATGGAGTTAAATAATAGGAAACTGATAGTGTAGTGAAGAAGAACACCAGTGGCGACAGTCAAATATGTTTAACACAAAATTACAGGACTGGTTAATAAAACCTAACAATCAAATAGTAAATACGTAATTTGCAAGATGTCCATCGATTGTCTCAAAATGACTCAGACTTCATTGTTGTTGCATTTTCATACAAATTGCAATTTGTTTCCATTCTTTACTGTTCGATCCTCTTGTTTTTCTACTGCCAGACCTTTTGTTCACGACTAACATCATATACTATTTATGTCAATATAAGTAGCACACACCACAACAGAATCAAAGATCTTATCATTGAAGTATTTAGCAACAGTCTACCTCTTGCAGGATTAAAATTGATGGAATTCAATAAGTATTATGAACTAGATAAGGCATGATATTGCTCATTATTCAGTAATCATTCATTGTAAATGTATTTGTGGCTATGAAAACTAAGTGAAATTAATAAGATAATGGAAATAATTGTTGTGATAAAAGTGGTAGATCATTTTGAAGGAAGTAACTAATAACTAGCTGTTCTATTAACGAATTATAACTGATGTTTCTTTACGAAATATTTAATCAAAATAACGTAATTATGAGTTAGTTTTTAAGTAAAAAGTTGTGAATGATAGAATAAACTGATCATCCTTAACCATCTAGTAATGATTCATTTTTTAACAAATTCATTTATTTTGAGTGAACTTGCATAGAAAACAGAAATTTACGGTAAATTGGATAGTGTAAATGTCATTTTTGTCTTGAAATAAATTTGTCAATTGTTTTGATAGAAAAAATATCTGTGCTAAATGATAATCGTAAAATCTTACAAACGTTTGTAAAATTTCTATCAGAATTAGAGCAAGGAGAAATATATAAACAGACAACTAGTAATTATTTTTCATAATTCAATTTTCAGTATGACAATTTGTGGAGATAATAGTATTTTAATAGCTGAGTTCACGAGTCGATTTAAGGTAGACCACCACTGAAAACCTAGAAGCACTAGACTTCCGTTCGGTCCTAATATGGCAGTGCGCATCCACGATCCAACATACGGAACTCAAACCCAGGACTTTCTGTCTTGCACGCGGAGTTTAACCCGGATTCGAGTCCCATGTGTTGGATCGTGGATGCGCACTGCTGAAGAGTACCATAATAGGACCAAACGGAAGTCTAGTGCCTTCAGGTTTTCAGTGGTGGTCTAGCTTAGATCGACTCGCAAATTCAACTTTCATTGATCCCTTTTTTTCTAAAATTAAGTAGCAACATTCAACTTTCAGTTATTCATCATCATTGGAACATTACTTTTGTCAGTTATTATTTTAAAAGCCATTAATAAAGCACATAGTATATTTATGTCCACTATTTGTTTAAATTAATCTTACCTTTTTTAAAAGAGTAGTATTTACTGACTGTAGAGATGGATAGTGGTTGGCAGCGGAATCCAGGACGCTCGTTTCGTTCAATTCGGGACTCGTCAGCTGGATGTATCTGCATTCCGAGAGTTTATAATCATCCCGGGACTCAAACCCAGTTAGTGGCTATCTGAACTCTAAGTGGATAGTACGATGGCGTCTGAAGCGAACAGTACTGAGTTTGAGTCCCAGAGTGAGCATGAACTCGGAGGCAAGTACATCCAGCTGACGAGTTTCAAACCGGACGAAACACACGTCCTAGATCCCACTGCTAGCCACTATCGATATTTGCTTATAATGCTTGTGAATTACGGCAATCTCTGGGAATACGCACAGTATACACATATACCAATAGGGAACTGACCAATTGCGGTCCTAAATAACAATGGGAAGACTCAAATAACCAGTAAAAAAGAGTTATTTACTGACTATGTCTTGATCATTCATTCATGATGTTTTGTGAACAGTTTGTATAATTTAAAAATCAAGAAAAATTTGTTTTTTAAAACAGAAATATAAACTAAAAAGACTATTTTTTGACCTTGGGACGTTTTCAAAATTTATGATTATTTAGGCGAAAAAATTATCAAATATGATTTTTTTTAGAATCATCTGATATCTATGCATTATAAACTGTTTATGTTTTGAAAAGTCATGGTTTGTGCTACTGAACATTTGAACTAATATTCCACTAGGTGATAGAGTTATCAGATCCACAAAATATCTAAAGGGTTTTAAATTTTATAAATGTTTACACTTTTTGTTTGCAAATAACCAACCTTATATTGATAATATCAAAGAGAATTGATTATCCAGATTATTTAAACCAAGTGCCAGTAATAAGGCACCTATTTCAGTAATCATCATGTTAATGAAGATCGATTAATCCCTCTTAAATCTTATCTATTTTATGGGATAGAATATGATTTTAAAAGGTAGTTTTAAGGCATTATTCATTCAGTTAATAAATTACTTCGGAGAAAATTCAAAACCAACACTTCAATCATATTATTTATTTATTTATTTAAATAACTCATTCTACATGGAATGAGCGAAAAAGACAAGAGTTTAAACAATCTTTTCCTTGTTATGTATATGTTAGAATTTAAGTTGTCTTGTTGTTATTAATTATTAAATGTTCATCATTAATCACTGTCTATTGGTATGTAAACAATACAGATGATGATACTTAAATAAGAAGAAACACTGATCATGTATTCCATTGCTAACCATCAATCAAATCTATCAGATCCTAATGTCTTTTATATATTTTCATATTAATTATGAAAAGCGTTTTTATTAAATGAATTACATAAAATATTGAATGAATTATTATCATTATTTTTATTTTCAGAAGGGGTTTTGTGGAGATTTTAGTAGTTTCAATAGTTGAAATCATGAGTCAATTGAAGCTTGACCACCATGGAAAATCTGGAAGCACTGGACCGCCGTTCCGTCCTAGTATGGAGCACCTTAGCAGTGCACATCCACGATTCCAGCCCCCGCGAGATTCGAACACAGGACCAATCAGTCTCGCGCGCTAGCGCTTAACTATTAGACCACTGAGCTGGCCGGCAACCAACGGTGTTAACACCGTAGGATGAAACGGCCGTTCAGTGCTTCCAGGTTTTCCATGGTGGCCTAGCTTCAATTAACTCATGATTTCAATTATATTTTATTTATTTAATTAATTTTAACAATTTGATTTCAAATTCAAATAATTTATTGATTAAAATAATTTCAAAAACAAACTTCTAACGTTAATTTTTCTCCTTAATAATACGATTTTAATAAGATTTATCATAGAATGGAGTTAATATCTTAATAAATTAAGAGAAAAGTATAGAAAGTGTAGTAGTTTTTTTCATTTCTATTTTATTTCTATTATTTTATACTACTAATTAAAATCAGTAATATTTATTTCTTTTTAAAAAAATTATGCTCAAGTTTTACACAAAGCTTGATAGTAAATTACCCGAGAATAATATAAGAATACAATTTCCAAAAGTAAAGAATGAAGGTAATCCTGATGGTAAGTATTAAGTAATCATGGGTAATTACAAGTATAAATTCATTTTATACATTTAATTTTAAATAAATTATCAATAATATGAATACATCTTTTATTCGAATATAATTATAGTAAAAACTGTATACAATATTTTAAACAATAAAATGTGTACACTTTGTTTTATGCTGATAAAACTATAATAGTGAATTAAATGAAGTGGTTTGCATGTATTCGATGTAAAGTATAGATAGTGATATAGTTCAATATATGTTTCAGTGGTAATAACTGTGATGGTTCATTTATTAAAGAATTCGACTTGCAACAGTTGTGGGTTACAGCTTCGAAATTCTAACAGCAGCTAAATTTCAATGTGTGACCCACAAATACATATTGTAAGTTCTATCAAAGTTTTATGTGATTTTGTATAACTTGCGTAAAATACAAAAGTTTTACAATATTGTCGTATTTTTTTCGTTTTTTTTCCTAATAATCTAGATGATGATGGTGGAGCCGATGATAATGAAGTGTTAACTAGAGCTGCTTTGAAGAAACAAGCTCAGCAAATGGTTGAAATGAGGAATAAGAAGAGGCAAACTAGAAAGAAGAAAAGAAGAGTTCGATAAAATAAAAATGATGATGTTATTATCGAACTGTATGCAAACATACTGTTTTTATTCTTATACACAAGCATGCATTCAGTCAAACTAGAGTGAATAAGATATAGATGACTTTATTTCCGTATGAAAAGCACCACTGTTTATACACTAGTCATAGGCAATGTGAACCGACTTTTTAAAATGATAGGACACTGAGTCGATGAGCATTTGCTTCTTGAAAAGAAAAAAAGAAGATCAAACATGAAATGTCACTTTTCTTCCTCTTAACTTTCATTCCTTTTTCATAAAATATATCGCTTTTATATCCTAGACCGGTGTTGTCCAACGTTTAAGAACAATGTATTTGATTTCAGGTAGTTTCTACTTATGTTCTATTTCGATTAAATGAACGTTTGCAACCCTATATTATCCACATAGCTGCATTCTTCAAATGGACAGGGAGATAATTATGAAAAACAACCCTCATAATCTAATAATCATACTTCACAAAGTTACTAACCTTAATATGGCTTGTAATTCGGACAGGATGGAATAACACGGACACTTGTTGTATGCTCAACTGAGCTATTTCTTCCAAATTAGAAAATCAGCCTCAAGTATTAAACATTAGATGAACTAAGGTCAGTTGACTATTAATATTAACTGTCTACTACAGCAGCTCGTTCGTGACAATTAAGACTGTTGAAATCAAGATCTTTATGACTTGTCAACAATCTTGCTAAACTGAATGTTTTCCAATAATACGCTTTAGTTCAATCAAGCAGGTTAATGTGTACATATATAAAACATATTTTAGATTGTTGACCTAGAACCAAATATTTTTTATTCACTGATCATTAGAGTTGAAGTAGAACAGGAAAGTGTGTGAATACATGAATGAAAGTGTTATGGTCAATACTGATAATGAATTGTAAACCCAAATAGAGTTACATACTAACCATCAGTCTCATCGGATAAAAAATAACCAATTATTTAGAGCTGACTCGAAACCCTTGGTGTTTTTCGTACAAGGCATAAGAATACATGGGTTGTCTTCTCAGCTTTCACAATAGACGGTTCAAGTCGATGAGTTAAGTTCACGGAACAATAATTCTAACTCATGGAGCATAAATCCATCATAAGACAATAAACTACTCCCTGGTCTCCCCAATAATTACATAGAACAAGCCACTAAGGTTTTGAATCAAATTTAGGAAAAACTATTAAAAAGTCCATGAATTTTGAAGTAACTCAATACAAATAGTGCATTCAAGTCAGTCGGTTTTATCCAATGTATCAGTAAAGGTTATGAATCCAAAAATGTGATTTATGTCCAGAACAATCGTTTAACTTTTGTCCTGACGGAAACATCATACGTGTAAGGTGTCGAGTGTTCTCTTTAGTCGATCACCTATGTGGATAATTAACAGTGGTTCGTCTATACACACAATTACGGCAAAGCATGAAACGACAATGCAATTGAAGAACCTGATATCTAAGCCATTCCTTAGATTTATTAATGCACCAAACTAATTACAGTCATCAGCCTATATTTATATAAAGAAAAAGTATCAGAAGACTATGGATTAATTGTATTCTCCATTTTTTTTTACTTTCTTGCTTTTTATAAATCTGAAAGAATGTTTTCAGTAGTGGATAGTGGGATAAAAGTAATATAAAAGGTATAAAACTGGCACCACTTATATTTTGTAAGACAAAGTTTACTTAAAGTTTGTTCTCGCTTTTATTAAACAGGGCAACTAGTTCCCAAACAAGGTGTTTGTTAGAAATACGAAGTATATTTTGAACTATTAAAAGTATTTATAAGTGGACACTTGTTCAAGAAAACAGTATAACTAGTCGATAAGTTGGTGATTAAAAATGTCAATGAGAGAACAACGATAGCAGAAACCTTCCAAACAGATAATTAACAAAATCTAGCCATTAAATCCTCTCTGAATCTTTAAACTCCGCTGCATTTCTGACACTAATATCTCCAAGATAATGTTTCTTTAAGTGCCAATATCCAAGAGGTTGAGGTTGGATTTTCCTCATCAATTGATAGACATACGACAGGAGTGTTGAATATAAAGTTGCTGAGTTAGCCGTTGGATAGAGAACTTTTATTTGGTGTATAGTCTATCTCCATGCACATATCTTTTACCAACGTAAAGTGTTGTTTAGGGTTCTTACATCAGGTCGATGAAAGTTGTCGGCAGATTGTGACCGCCTAGAGAAAGTGTTGTCTAAGCTCACCGTCATGATAAAAATTTCCATGGAAGAAACTTAGAGCAAATCAGAGAAGCAAGTGACTTTGTAAAATGTTATGAAATGAAAAGGTGATCATGATATCTTTCAGTTTTCGAACATAATTTTGGTTACTTATTATTTATGAGTAGCTAAGATATTCTACTGAAAACAGGATGATTATCCACAGAAGCAGAAATAGAAACGCATTATGCATCTGGCCGTAAAAAGGTAGATGATACTCACTTTGAGAGCAAAGACTGTGTTAACTATGTGATAATACTTAACAGGTAGTCTAGAGTATTTTATTGAATAATTCACTTACTTACTTACTTACGCCTGTTACTCCTCGTGAAGGAGCATAGGCCACTCACCAGCATTCTCCATCCAACCCTGTCCTGGGCAATCCTTTCCAGCTCCGTCCAGTTGTAATTCATCCTTTTCATATCTGCTTCTATTTCCCGACGCAATGTGTTCTTTGGCCTTCCTCTTTTTCGCCTTCCTTCAGGATTCCAAGTTAGGGCTTGCCTCGTGATGCAGTTTGACGATTTGCGTAATGTATGTCCTATCCATTTCCATCGTCTTTTCCTAATTTCCTCTTCAGCTGGAAGTTGGTTTGTTCTCTCCCACAAAAGGCTGTTGCTGATGGTATCGGGCTTTTCATGGATGTTGTATCTTGCGTAGCAGCTATTTATAAATACTTGTACCTTCTTGATTGTGGTTGTTGTAGTTCTCCAAGTTTCAGCTCCATACAGTAGAACTGCCTTGACGTTCGTATTGAAGATTCTCACTTTGATATTGGTTGAAAGTTGTTTTGAGTTCCATATGTTCTTCAATTGTAGGAATGCGACCCTTGCTTTGCCGATCCTCGCCTTTACGTCTGCATCTGAACCTCCTTGTTCATCGATGATGCTTCCCAGGTATGTGAAGGACTCTACATCTTCCAGAGTTTCGCCATCAAGAGTGATTGGATTGCTGTTCTCCGTTTTGAATTTGAGGACCTTGGTTTTCCCTTTGTGTATGCTGAGGCCTACTGATGCAGAGACTGCTGCTACACTGGCTGTCTTCATCTGCATCTGTTCGTGTGTACGTGATAGGAGGGCTAGGTCGTCTGCGAAGTCCAAATCGTCTAATTGATTCTGAGCTGTCCATTGTATTCCGTGTTTTCCTTCAGATGTCGAGGTCTTCATAATCCAGTCGACCACCAGAAGAAAGAGGAAGGGAGAGAGTAAACAGCCTTGTCTGACTCCAGTCCTTACTTGGAATGCATCTGTCAGCTGTCCTCCATGCACTACTTTGCACTGTAGTCCGTCGTATGAGTTCCGGATAATGTTGACAATCTTCTCAGGAACTCCGTAGTGTCGAAGAAGTTTCCATAATGTCCTCCTATCTACACTGTCGAATGCCTTTTCATAATCAATGAAGTTGATGTATAGTGATGAGTTCCACTCAACTGATTGTTCGACGATGATCCGTAGTGTTGCAATTTGGTCTGTGCACGACCGATCCTTACGGAATCCAGCTTGTTGATCTCGAAGTTGGGCGTCTACTGCATCCTTCATCCGGTTCAGCAACACTCTGTTGAAGACTTTCCCTGGTATTGACAGTAGTGTAATGCCTCTGTAGTTTTCACATTTGCTCAGATCTCCTTTCTTTGGAATCTTGACGAGGTGTCCTTCTTTCCAGTCCATCGGCACTTGTTCCTCCTCCCAAATCTTTTTGAATAGAAGGTAAAGCATGCTTGTGGTTGCTTCGATGTCTGATTTCAGTGCTTCAGCTGGTATGTTGTCGGGTCCTGCTGCTTTCCCGTTCTTGATTTGTCTGACGGCCATTCTAATTTCTTCCGTCGTTGGTGGGTTGACATCTATAGGAAGATCTATGTGTGCTGCTTCGATGTCCGGTGGATTCATTGGAGCCGGCCTATTCAGGAGTTCCTCGAAGTATTCTACCCATCTGTTACGCTGTTGTTGAATTTCGGTGATTGGCTTGCCTTCTTTGTCTTTGACCGGCCTCTCTGGTTTACTGTATTTCCCTGCTAGTTTCTTCGTTGTATCGTAAAGCTGTTTCATATTTCCTTCTCTAGCAGCTTTTTCTGCCGTCGTTGCTAGTTCTTCCACGTATTTCTTCTTGTCGGCTCTAATGCTCCTCTTCACTTGTTTGTTTGCTTCTATGTATTCAGCTTGTGCTTGGACTTTCTCTGCTCGTGTTCGGCTGTTGTTAATTGCTGCCTTCTTGTTCTTCCTTTCTTTGATCTTGTCCAGTGTTTCTATAGAGATCCATTCCTTATGATGGTGTTTCTTTAGGCCCAGAACCTCTTGACACGTTGAAGTTAATGCTTCCTTGATGCCTTTCCAGTTGTCCTCCATAGTAGTTTCTTCTTCTTTCAGTAGATCTTGTAAGGCTTGGAACCTGTTGTTGAGAGCTATCTTGAATTCATTGAGTTTGTCAGTATCTCGAAGGAAGGCTGTATTGAACCTTTGTAGTGCTGTTTGTCCACTTGTCCAGTTTTTTTTTAGCTTCAGTTTTAAATTGGCTACAACTAGGTGGTGATCTGAAGCTACGTCAGCACCTCTCCTGGTTCTCACATCTTCCATTGTCCTTCGGAATTTTTTGTTGATGCAAATATGATCTATTTGGTTCTCTGTAGTGTGGTCCGGTGAGATCCATGTAGCCTTGTGTGGAAATATTGTGCCTCCTATGACCAATTTGTTGAATGCACATAGATTTGCAAATCTTTCTCCATTTTCGTTTCTCTCAACCAGTCCATGTCGTCCCATGATATCTTCATATCCGGTGTTGTCTATTCCGACTTTGGCATTTAGATCTCCCATCAGAATAGTTAGGTCCTTTCTTGGGCATTTCTCAATGATTGACTGCAGCCGCTCGTAGAACTGATCTTTAATGTCGTCGTTGCTATCATTGGTGGGTGCATAACATTGGATAATATTCATTAAGATCCCCTCCTTCTTTGTTTTGAATGATGCTTTGATGATTCTGGATCCGTGAGACTCCCATCCTACAAGTGCATTTCGTGCTACTTTGGACAGCATAAGAGCGACTCCCTGAGTGTGTGGAGCATTTCCCTCTTCGTGACCGGAGTATAGCAGCATCTCTCCCGTAGCTAGCCTTTTCTGTCCAGCTTGGGTCCAGTGGGTTTCGCTGATTCCCAGTACTGCTAAGTTGTATCTCCTCATTTCCATTGCTATTTGACTGGTCTTCCCGGTTTCCCACATTGTTCGAACGTTCCATGTACCTATAAAAATTTTTGCTCTGGTTGTTAGAAGGGGCATCGGCCTCGTGGCTTCCGAAGGAACTCGGCTTTCACCATGAAGCGTCATAATTCTTCTAAATGAAGACCTTCTAACTCTCAGGGCAGAGTTTAAATGGTTTGAATTATTTTTTCTGGTAAGCGTTTTTTCAGCGAGATTTTAAAAACTTCATTAGTTGAAATCATGAGTCGATGGAAGCTAGACCACCTTGGAAAACCTGGAAGCACTGGGCGACCGTTTCGTTCTAGTATGGGACTCCTCAGCAATGACAATCCATATTTGTTGATCTTTTTTTGTTGAATAATATACAATTATATAAAACGAATCATTCAACTATAAATTATAAAAGTAGCCAAAATTGAAATGTACATCCTTTCACAATAATGTCGGAAAGTTTCACAATCTTATAATGAGTTTCGTGTATTGGTGTTACAAAATGCAAAAAATTATTGTCAACAAATTGTTGCGTTGGAATATAAGTTTTAATGGCTGGTATATATATATATATATATATATATATATATATATTCAGCTAATCAATTATAATATGATCTATGACATTTGTTTGTTGTCTTTTTTTCTTTTTTATATTTAGTCTATTGTCTTCTGTTGTATTCTTCAGTTTTGAGTAAACTCATTCAAACACAATAAAATAATGAATATGTTGATGGGTTGATTGGATAAAGTATATCCATCTACATTTTAAGACTATTCATAAATATTTAATTTATCAAGTATCTATTTTTAAATATTCTCTTTTTACGTTGTCTCTTTTCTCTGTATTCATTCCTTCATTTATGGAGTATATACATGGGCACACAACTACCGTATATGTATATATATGGAGAGAGAGGGAGAGGGAGGGGTGAGGGCAAGAGAGACTTTTAGGTAGCCAGACGGATTCCGCTATCTATGTGACAAGTTTCATCATACCATGATTAATGATCTGACAATAAGTAGAATACCACTTTAATATCACTTGTCTAAAATGAACAAGCGAAGTCATCTTACCGATGGTAGATCAGTCAATGTGTAGGGTAAAAAGCACACAAAAAGTGAATATTTTTTTCCAAAACATTAATAAATATTGTTAAGGAAGGAAGAGAAAGTGTAATTTTTCATAGTCAACATTGACTTATTATCATCGTCATCAACATCATTATTGATATTAGGAAGATGGGAAATGTACACATATACTTTTGTGATTTATAAATTCTCGTAATCAGGACAAGACAGATAAGATTTATAAACCAGTTATTCTCCCACGATCTTTCACTTATCGTTTATTCTTTTTCTTATATTACATTAAACTAATTTGTAATTTTATTGGTATATCTCTAATTATACATGTGAGATTTTTTTGTACGTACATGTCCATGCAAGCATTAAGTTAATGATATTCATTGCTCTATGTATTAGATGGTTAATTTCATTAAACAGTCCTTATTAGTTAAACTGTCACTGTAACCTGAAGTGTATGCAATAAATTCTAATGGTATATTTTTAAACTTCTGTATTTTGTGTTACTTGATAGAATTCAAGCATTTAAAGCTATGTAATTTATTATGGTACCTGACGAATTTATAAATATAATTCTATCTGATAGTACTTCCACTAAAAACAAGTTGATAGTACATATTATTTTTGTCTACAATATCTAGTTCATTTGTTTATCTTACTAGTTTAAGTCTACTCTATAAGACTAGCAGATCATATATGACTAGGACTTATTCATTCATTCAATGAATAACTTAAACACTATTGTTCTTCTTTGACTCACGTTAGTTATTTTATGTCTTTTCACTTTTAAATCAAATAATCATTTTTATTTCAACTGTTGTTTGGGATAGGTGGTGTAAGATTTACAGGTGAACTTAATTAATAATGGACAAAAGTTAGTGCAATTGATGGGAAAGTAATGATATATGCCTTAAGGTTAAACTTCAGTTTTATCAAGTATTCATATGTAGTTATTTTTATGATCCAACTATGTTGTAAATTACTATTTGATTCTGGTTCTACTACACTTCCATTTAATATCAATCTAATGTCAGGTTCTCTTTAATTTGTAATTGTTATGGAATTTTTAAGCATTTCATCTAATAAAACTATACAACTCATTATTTGATACATCTCTTCCATTGAAACACCTACAATAAACATAATGTTAACGACTAGATGAGATCAACATACATATATAGAAATATTATAAGCAGAGATGGATGATGATTAGTAGTGGGATCCAAAATGCGCGTTTTATCCTATTTAGAACTTGTCAGCTACTGGTATCTCCATTTTAAAGTTGATACTATTGGACTTAAAACGAGTACTTCAGTTGATCAATCGCATTTAGACAATATCAAGGCAATCCACCCAGAATGCTCATATACAAAAAAGTTGTCTAATCAATTCCATTCTTTAATATCTGTGAGAAGTTTCAAATAATCAATACAAATGAATATCTAAAAATAGTTTCATAATTTTATTTCATTCACTGCCAAAATTCATCAATAACATACATGATATAAAACAATTCATATATTGTATTCCTATTTTATTGAAATGATAAAAATACTCATACCTTAAACATGAAAACTTTCTAACTAAATCTAAACGTACATCGATACTTGGACACTTTAAACGAATTAAAATAGCATAGATACACTAAATAACTACTTCCACCTATCTGTCTCTATCTATCTATCTCTATCTATTCATTAGGATTTATCTATGGATTCTAATATATGATGTATTTAATTTGTATATGAATGTACCATCTATAAAAATGTTAAATAAAGAAGTTGTGTATAACTAAAACTTGAATATATATCTCATAAGAGAATTTCTAATAGAATAATATTAACATTATATAAAACATAAATTAGCTTTTACAAAGAAAAAAAAACAAAAAAAACTAAAAAATAATGACAATTTAGTTTTATTAAAAAACGATTTAAAAAATTTTTTTTTATTTTATCATGTATTTTATCGCTGGCTCTTTTTTTCTTTAATTATCGAATATTCATCTGATTGAAATAAGTAAACTTAAACAAAAATTATACATTTATTATTAAACGACAAAACTATTGTTTTCTTTCTTTTTTCTTTTCCTTTTTTTGTGTTTTTTTTATACATGAAATTAACATTCATCCAAAAATACGGAAGTTTTTTTTAAATAAAAAAAAAGAAACAACTAAAATTGTACATTCAATGAGTTATTCATACAAGTTTTATTTGTTTTATTTGAAGGAATTAATTATGTTTTAATTCATTATGTAGTTTGAATCAAGTCAATTCATCATTTGTCTAGCTTCAATTGACTTATGATCTCAACTATTGAAATTATTATAATATCCACAAAAACACCTCTGATACAAATCAAAATGTGCTCACTAATGACTGGCTTCAAAAGGTATATCCTGGAGTTCTAGTGAGAAGCGTTGATCAGTGAAGTTCAACCGGGTCTGTTATGAGATAGTAATTCACTGAAAACACTGATGGACGTGTGACTCAGTTTCGTGGATTAGTTGAAGTTAAACACTAACACCGTCAGATGCCAGCCGACTCAGTGGTCTAGATGTTAAGCGTTCGTTTGCGAGACGGATAGATTCTGGATTGGAATCTCGTGAGGTGAGATCGTGGATGTGCACTGTTGAGGAGCTCTACAATAGAACAAAATGGCCGTCCAATGTTTCCAGGTTTTCCATGGTGGTCTAGATTTAACTAACTCATGATCTCAACCACGAAATTTTTTTTTGTTTAGCGAAATGTGTATAAAGATGTGTGCATCTGTTATTATTTGAAAAAACAAAATTAGTTTTGTTTTGTATTCTAGAAAATAAAATGAAATACCAAAAAAAGATTTTATAAATTTTAGTAAACTATAATCTGAGTATCAGAAGGGGCTTTGTAGAGATTGTAGTAATTTCAATAGTTGACATCATGAGTTAATTAAAGCTAGATCATCATGAAAAACCTGTAAGTACTGTTTCTGATATTTCACTTAAAATTTACTATTAAATTTAAAAGTTCAATGCATAGTTTTTACCATAGAATACAGTTTAATTCAGCTTGAATCCAATTGTTCACATTTATAGTTTGAAATAAATAAGATGAACTATTATAAGATGTGTACTGAAAAAGACGTTCCATAGTTAGATAATAGTTCCAGAAATTGGATTTATTTTTATCAATCTCGTCGTATCTATAGACACTTATCAAAATAACTTATGAAAGAAAGTTAGTTACAAAACTTTTATTTGCCTAAGTCTAACAATTTAATTTTCAGAATGGAATTCTTTAAAATCAACATTTTAAGTTTATTATATCGTTTTCATGCACCTAAGGTGATATTTGCTTAATTATCTTATCATTAGATAATTATCTAAACCGTAATGTAGATTTGTTACTAGTCACAGTCTCTACTCAAATCAAAGTAAATTGTCCTATTTTGTTATTTTAAAAGTCCAATAAAACTTTGCATTAGATTTTTATAGATTTTAAAATCAGTGATTTGGTATTTTATACAGAAATATCTCAAACTTTGAAAACAAGAGAACTATTCACATTGTATGCGAATATTATTTTAAGGCTTAACGGCATTTTTCATTATAACTTATAGTCAATTGAAAATTAATACAAATCAGAAAATATTGAACATCTGTTTCACTTTAGTATAAAGTTTCAAACTGTCCTGCACTGTCGTCTCTAACTGTGAATCAAAAAATTCTAACTCGTGACAAAAATGATCCTTTTATCTATTTATATCTATATCGTTACTAGTTTGATCTTTAATTGATTTTTCACAATTACCAAAGACATTGTGAGTAATAAGTATATGTTTAGTATGTGAGAATACTAAACGAATAGTACCATATGCCTACTTGTAACAAGCTTTGTGGGGTGATTTTCGAAGTTGCAGTGCAAAACAATGACCAGTGGAGCTAATCTGTGTCAAGTAGAGACAGGTTCCTACCTCAGACAATAGAAGATTGTCGCACAATTTCGTTGATTGTTTGAAGTTAGACATTAACACCACTGGATGCCGACCGGCTCAGTGGTCTAGAGGTTAAGCGTTCGCATGCGAGTTCGTGGATGGGCACTACTGAGGAGTCCCACACTAGGACGAGATGGTCGTCCAGT